GAGAGAGAGAGAGAGAGAGAGAGAGAGAGAGAGAGAGAGAGAGAGAGAGAGAGAGAGAGAGAGAGAGAGAGACAGAGAGCTAACTCGTCACACCTTGATTAATTGCTTTTATCAGTAGGTGCCAAGTTCAACTCCTGCATTTGTGTCTCAACTGGTACTAACCCTGACTGAGCAAGAAACCTGCAGAATGATAATAACACAAAGGAAGGATGATTTATTTTCAAAGCACATACAAAAATAGAGAACCCTTATATGACCTTCACATTAGAACCATGAAACAGGAAGCCAAAAGATGATAGCTTTTCAAAGCACATCCAAATGTAGAGAAATGAGAACCCTTCTATGATAATCAAACTCAGTTTAATACTCAATAGAACCATCAAACACGAACACAAAAGATTAAATCTTTTCAAAGCACATATAAAACTAGAACCCTTTATATGAAAACCAAACTCAATTTCACAAAGACCAAGATGCATAAGTACTCATTAAGACAATGAAATAGAACACCTTAAGCTGTCAATACAAAGACAAAACAACTAGATAACACCAATAAAATATGTCTGAAACCTCAAATAAACCAAAGGGTTGATCAGCTACTCTAAGAAAAAGGAGAAAGTATTGAAATTGACATACCAATTGAGGAGGACAAAGAGAGAAGATGCGAGTACAATGGGGAAGCCAACGTGAAAAAGCAGCAGAAGAAACGCGAATCTCAGAGCGTTCCATGTTAGAGCCTGTTAAACAGATCCGATCCAACTAGGGTTTTATAACCAAAAAGAAACAGAGCATATACACAACAAGGGTAAGAAAGGAAGTACCGACATTGACGCCTGGAGCTAGAGCTCCGAGAAGGACATCATGGAGGTCACGAGAGAGAGAGGCATGGGAGAGAGCGATCTGGCCAGAGAGAAAGCAAAGGTAAGACCTTTCACCAGAAAGAAATAATGATGGTAGAGTATCATGGTGATGTTGGCTTGAAAATGATGGTTTTTATGTGTCGTTGGTTTGATACAACGGAAAATCGTGGTATGAGAATACATCCGTTTGGGCTTGTGGATGTCTCACCACGCAAACAATATGCAAAATATGACCCATTTGTGTTACCAGGTAATTAAAATATGGATAAAATGATAATTTTGTATTATAAGATTTGTAACGATATTTGTCATCATAGGTAATTGTGATCAAGCATGTTTCATTCCTTACCCGCGGGTGCGTCGATCTTCAGGAGATGAATGGTGGGCTTGTGCGAAAATATTATCACGAGGAATCCAAGAAACTTCAGAAGTTGTTTTTACCGCATGGCAAGATGATAGACGTAATCAAGTTGCCGAAAGTTCATTGCTACGAGTTGAAACACATGTTGTCGATGATGTCTCGGATTAAGATACTTCCCCTGTAATCCCGCCAAACGATGAGTATAGATCAGATGATGATTTAGAAGAAGCAGATAATAATTCTGATGAATCAGAATAATAAAAGTTGTTAAAAATGGTGTAAAATAAGAATGTATGAGAATGATGTAAGATAAAATAAAAAATGTAAAATATGCAAGTATGAAAATGATGTATGATTAAATAATGTATGATTAAATTATGTTGTAAGATATGCAAGTATGGAAATAAAAATTATGTTCAAAAATATAGGGTAATGAAGATTTTGTGGTATTGAGTGTATGGATGAATAAGATAATAGATAAGAGAGTTGTTGTTGTGTTTTTAGTGTTTAGGGGTTAGAGATTCACGGAGTGTGGAAATACGAAGAAGCCACGGTTTAACCACGAATTTTTCGTGGCTTTCTGAAATTTCGATTTTGATTTTTGGATTTTGGCTCTCATTTTTCGTGGCTTATATTCGGTTTGGTTCGAAATTTTCAATTTCGTTCCAAATTTTTGGTTTGGCTCCAAAATTATAGAGTAAAGTCACCAAATAATTTGGTTCCACGGTTTATTTTTAAGTAAGCCACGGTTAGGCCACTAATTTTTTCGTGGCTTCATTTTAGAGTTACTACACACACCGTATCCTTCTTCCCATTTCAACACTTAGCCAAAATTTCAGCTTTCTCTCCCCTTCGATCTGTCTCTTTCTCACCTTCGCCGATCCTTTCTCTCCCACCCTCTCTGTATATTACCAACCTTTCTCTCCTCCTCTATTCCTTTCATTATTTGTTTAGATTAGAGTTCTTCTCTGTCTTCGATTAGGGTTCTTCTCAGTCTTCTTGTGTTTAGATTAGGGTTCTTCTCTCTTTTTTTTTCTTGCATGTTTACTTCCCCAGATTCAATCGATTGATTTAGGGTTTTTGTACACTTCCCCAGATTCAATGGATTGATTTAGGGTTTGCCGATTCGTTTCTTGTGTTTAGATTAGGGTTCTTCTCTGTTTCTTGTCTTGCATGTTTACTTTCTGTCTTTAGATTTACGGTTTCTTTTTTTGTTTCTTTTTCAGATTTAGGTTTTGAATCTCTTCTATATGTTGTTTAAGGGTTTATTCTTGCATGTTTAGACTAACAACATCGATTTAGGGTTTGATTCTCTTCTGTTTGATTTAAGGTTTGATTCTCTTCTCTTTGATTTAAGGTTTGATTCTCTTTATCTGTTTCGATTTCTCTTCATGTTTAGCTCTGTCTCTGTTTCGATTTCTTGTTTGTTTAGCTCTGTATCTTTGTTTAACTTCTTTCTGTTAACTGCAGATGGCCTCAAGAAATGGACAATCCTCAGCAAGAGGACAAGATAACACGGCTCCTCCGATGCCACCTGGTGCCACGGGAGTGGCTGCAAACAGACAAGCTTCTTCCTCCCGTTCAAATAGCTATCCGCAAATGTCTCTAAATGCCATGTTCAGTTCTCCCGCTAGGATGTCCCAGCCACATCTCCATCCCGATAAGCTCAATGGTGCTTTATGGTAATTACTCACTGTTTAGCTTAGAATTCTTACATAAACTTAAGATTCTTGGTACCCGATAATTGATTAAAATATGTCATATGATTGTTAGCTTGCTTGTTTGTTTAGGATTGTCGCTTAGGTTTGATTGATTGTTAACTGTCATTAGATTTTTAGGCTGGTTTGTTTGTTTATAATTGTCTCTGCTATATCTGATATTTGTTGTCTGTTTAGGTTTTCTATTGACCCATCAGTCTACGCTTTCATCCGTGCAACATGGCTGGATACTATATGGGCCCTTGGAAGAGTTGGAGGTTTGTTCCAGAGGAAAGACGGAACGCATGGTGGCAGACATTTGTTGTAAGTGTTTTGTCTCTTTAAATGTCTTTAAGATTATTCTTTGCTAATCACTAAATGTTTTATTTTCGTTTGCAGCAAAATTACTACTGGGAGCCTCAGTTTAATGACTTGGTGTATGCCTTCTGGAAGAAGGAAACGTGGACATCTATTCGTGAAAAGATTAGCACGAAGAAGAGGAAAAATAAGCAGCCTGCATATATCAGTGACAAGGACTGGACCACCCTTATGGAGTATTGGGCGACGGAAGAAGCCAAGAAGAAGAGCAAGAAAGCTGTTGAAAGCCGCAAGTCAGACCCTATGGGTAAAGGAGAACACAAGCACAATGCATGACCTTGTGGATTTGCAAGGCATGAATATATCATGGCAATTTCCTTTTTTTTTTACACATTTTATTTTTCACATTTTCCTTAACTAATTTTCTTTTTTCTGTTATTGCAGATGGTTGAGAATGATGGTGAACCACCTTCCTATACAGACCTTGTCAGGAGGACACACACACGCACACAAAAATGGCACTTTTGTTGACTATCGAGCTGAAGAATTGGTGACTAAAGCTGAGATGGAAGCCACACAGCTCTCTAACACTGATGGATCACCAGGAAGTACATCAACAGCATCAACTCCTCCTCGCATCTTGTTAAACCAAGCTTATCTGAAGGTATGTTTTCAATTTATTGTCTTTTGCATTTTATCTCAATCTGGTTTTAGAATTATACTTGGTGTTATAGCTATTAAATGTTTGTTTCCTCTATAGAATTAGGTTATAATTAGGAGTTATAAGCAAGCCTCTTATTTATAATATTGTATGTGGAGTTGGTTTTGACTGAATATGTTTTACCTTTCCTGCAGAATGCTAAGGGTAAGAGGGGGCATATCTATGGACTCGGTAGTGTCCAGTATAGGAAAAATGCACCATCTTCAAGAGTCCCAGCTGCACTTGCCCGCAACCTGGAGTTGGAGTTGCGTGTGAATGGACTGGAGACAAGCTTGTAAAGCGTGCTTACTGATGTAAGTTCAGTAAAGGGGGATGTGGCTACAATGAACGAGGACGTCTCAGCAACAAGGGCTGCAATCAATCAGCTCCTCCAAACATTTCTGCCCCAAGCATCTCAGCAACAAGCTCCTTCCCCTCAAGCTCAAGACCCTTCTCAACCTTCCCAAGCCAACGGCTTTTATATGCAAGTGTAGCATCTTTTAACTTATGTAACATCCTTAAAACTCTGTCCTTTTGTTCTTAAGACTAAATGCTTTGTTTAATATTAATTATTATGTTTAGTATTTTGTAAACCAACTTTTCATTAATATAATTTTATGTTTAGTTTAATTGGCAAATTAAATCGGTAATCAAAAATAAAATCATTTAGCAAAAAATGGTGGATATAGATTGCCACGAAAACAAAAGTAGGCAAAAACGTGGCTACAATAAGCCACGATTGTAAAACATAAAACTGTGGCTAAAGATGCCACAAAAAAAGAATGTGACATAAATCGTGGTTTTGTAAAGCCACGATACTCTGCTAAAACCGTGGCTGTAATAGTGTCAAGAAGCCACGAAATTGTCGTGGTAAAACCGTGGCTTTTTAACCACGATAAGCCACTGTTCTTTTCAGCCACGAAGCTATAGCCACAATAATCTTCTCGACATTGAATCGTGGCTTATTATCAGATAGCCACGCTTTTTGGCTTACGGAGCCACGGTTTCAAAGTGGCTGTGTCATGGCTATACATAATATTTTTACTAGTGAGCGGGCGCCTTTTAAAACACAGATTATGTTTTTTTTTAATATGATAAAAATTATTATTATATTTTCTTATTGATGGTTTAACTGGAAAATCTAAAATTTCACTAAAATTTAAATGGAAAATATTAGATTTTGGAAGACTTAAGAAAACTTTAAAAGATCTACTGAAAGATTTTAAGTAGGTCTTCTGAAATCTTTCGAGTTTTTCGAAGGTCTTCCAGTAAGTTTTTCAAAGTCTTCTTAAGTTTTCCGAGGTCTTCTTAAGACTGGGTCTGACTGGTTCTCCTGCCATCACCCGCAAACGCAGCTTTTGCGGTTAGTAGTGGTTGTTGGCGTTTTGCAACAATCACAGAAAACACTATAAACCGCTTCAAATCGCTTTGAATCTCTAAAATTCAAAAGCTGGTTCCAGCTAGCGTTTGCGGGAGGATAAAAAATATTTTTTTTCCACAAAACTATATAATATAAAAAATAAAATATTCAATTAAAATTTTAAATTAAAATAATTGAAATACTGAAATATTTATATTATAAAATTTCCAAAAAATATTTTCTTTAATTTTAAAAAATTTAATAGTGCAGTTTTTCAATAATTTTTTTTATATTTATCATGAAAATATGATTTTAATATTTTGATAATTATATAAAATATAATTATTGTTAATTTATTATTTAACCGCTGTATTTGATGATAAACCAATCATAAGTATCCCGCAAACGCAACAATTTTTAACCGTTGAACCAGTCGTATAAATCTCTTACTAACGCTTAAAACCGCAATCTCCCGCATCCGCAAACGCCCGCAACCGCAACTGCAATCACTGCGTTGTAACCAGTAGGCCCTACTGGAAGACTAAATTTTAAACGAGAATTTTAAGCAGAAAAACTAAATATTTTTATCATTTTAAGCGGCGTGTCTAAATTTTTTTACATTCAAGATCTTCTTAAGTCTTCTAATAATATCAAGAGAAGTCTTCTCAAAACCCTAAAGTTACTAAAGGCCGAGAAGACTTGCCCAGAACCCTTTTACTGCATTATGTCTTCGAAACTTTAAGTCTTCCAAAACCTTAAAATCAAATATATAACTAAATCATATACACAAACTTTATTAAACTTAATTAAACTTATAAAGTTTTTAATATACACAAAATTAAACACATATAGGTAAAATTTACTTTTAAAAAAATGCTAAGATTACACAATGTAACCCTAAAACACATACAATACTATAACATAGTTACGAAACCATAAACCAAAGAATATCATGACTAACTTACATTCATTCATCTATCTTGAAAATTATTCAGCTGTATTAAATCTATATTTTAAATCATTTATAAACGTCAATAATTACATGATTATGATTTTTTTACTAATCAAAATATTTTTGATAAACTTTATAAATTAATTTTAATAACCACAACATGAGAAGACTTACCTGAAAGTTTTCTCATTCTTAAGGTTATAATGGTAAACTATAATTCTGTTTTTTTTGTCATGAGGAGATGTTAGTAATTTCACTAGCCTTTTGAGGTTACTTTTGCATTTGATTTGAGTTTGAGTGCACTTTTATATTTAAAATCAAGTTTTGAGTCATATTTGACAAATCCCCATAATTTTTAAATTTGATATCAGAAAATTTTAATAATTAAAAATTTATTCATGAAAGTTCCTTTTTAACTACAGATTTGATGATTTTTAGTTATAACACAATCTGTTGAGGAATATATAAAAATTTAATGAAAAATTGCAAATATTTTTCTTAAACTAATGCATTAATTGAGTAACAAAAAAATTCAATCTTTCAAATTCAAAATATTTATGCACTTTTCTAGAACATTCTTGACCAAATATAAAATTTTGAAAATATTCCAACTTTTATAAAATATAAAAGCATAGATGCTAAATTTTAATTTTTTTAACGGAACATGAAAACACAAATACTATTGTAAAAATCAAAGTAGTATAATATCCTGAAAGGTTAATTTAATAACAAAAAAATTATAGAACAAATTACTGTCAATATAATTAACGAAACTATAGAAGTTTTTTTTATAGAATTATCGAAAATAAACAGTTGATTTTCTTCTCTAAAAATCCCCTATATATTAATTGAGAAACATTTGAAAAATTGTAACCTCAATTTTGTAATAATTAAAAAAGATTCCATGCTTACGTGTCACTCAATTAGGTAGTCAATTACATTCAGTTGAAAAATAAGTAGGTCCACATTCGATTTTTATATGTCGCTAGATATATTTGTTGGTCAAACTATATGATATGATATTTATGATAGAAGCATTTATGATTGTCCTGCAAAATATAATTACTATTTTATTTTCTTTTCTTAAATAAAAACTACGGAATTACCATAAATGACAAATATATATATATATATATATGACAATTAATGTTTCTAATAATAAATATTTGATAACAATTTGTATCTCCTCCATCATTTTTCTTTAATTTTATATTATTAAAATAAATCAAACAATCAAATTAGCTATACAATTAAACTTTAGATTTTTTTTTGTATATGTTATATTTTGAATTTAAAAAAACAAGAATAAATGACTAAAACTATTAAAATTATTATGTTAAAAATTAATGATCAATAGTTTAACATTTTTATTATAAAAAGATACACATGATTTTAAAACCATTTGAGTAAAAAGTATCATTCAATAATAAAATACATATATATATATATATATATATATAGATTAAACTATATACCATATAAGATTACATACTTATTTTAATTTCAAAAATTTCAATGAATTTTCAAGAACATTTATAAATTATAAACGTATTAAATTTTTCACATTGAAAATTTTTGTTATCAATGATTTAAATATATTAGTTCTTTTTTTTTAATTTTCTATTTTTTGAAGATATTAACACAATCGATAATATGGTTATTTTTGGTATATACCATACAAACCGAATGTATGTGATTTTATAAAAACCGTAAGATTTGGATATGGTTTGATTTATAATCGATTAAACTGAAACATGTAAATATGTATATCTATTTGTTACATGAGTTGAATTATAATTATGATTTGTAAATCACTTGAATCACTTGAAATATAATTAACTAACAATTTAATGCAAGTGAGGCTTCTTATTTTCTTCGTCTTTTTTTTTGATCTTTTTTTTTAATAAAAACTAAATTGAAGTAAACATTATAAATTTGATGGACAACAATTAGTTGAAATTCTTTACAATTTTTTTAATCTCTAAACAAACAGAGTTGTGTTCAATCGAAGACATATTAATTTGATGAATACTAAATATTGAAGAATATAAAAACTTTTCTTTCATGCTTTTGTTTTGTTTTTATTTTTATTTTCAAAATTTAGAGATTTGATATTAATTCTAGATTTGATCATTTTATTAAATCATAAAAGCCTTTTTTTGTTTTTTATTCTTTTAGTTAAATATATAATATTTTTTTAGTAAATGACTTTTTGACAATATGACTCTAAATAAGATCATATTATCTATTTTTATTATATATAATATGATTTCAAACTAAATAATGATGTATTTTGGTATAAAATTGAATAAACTGAAAACAAATATATAAACCAAATCAAACTGAAGTAAATATGGATTTAGAATAGTAGTTATATTTTAATAACCAGAATATTGAAACCCGATATCCAGATTGAACATCCTTGATCTAGATGAAACTGAACTTTTGTTTTATTTTCCAAAACATAATAAAAATAATAACTTCATCCCGCGCAAGGTGCGGGTTTTATCCTAGTAAACACATTACTGTCAATAGCGAAGACAATTATGACCACAATAATCACTAGGCGGCGAAATAGCCTTCATTATCTCCACGATAAGATTTGGGTGAAGGCATCATCACTGAGGGCTTTGTCAAACGGGATTTGGGCGAGCCAAGAAGTTGAAGAGCATTCAAAGAGCCAAAAGATGGCATAATCTCGTTTCTGCATAGGTCACGTAGATGCTGAATCTCATATTTGTAAGCTGCACGATAAAGTGGCTTAACGTGTTGCGTCGCTTTCTTTGAAAGCATAAAGCCATCGCTATAAATGAACTCAACGAGAGCCTTTCATTCTTCTTGTTTCAGTTCTGAGAGAGTGGTTGTTTCCAGCCTGGAGGAAGCCTTAAAATAGTCTGATTCAAATATCTTCTTAAACACTTCTGTTCTTGAAGACTATACAAGTTCCACATATATATGTGAAAGAAAAAAAATTAGCAGTGAAATCATTTTATGTAAAAGAAAAAGAAGTAGAAGAAGAAGAAGTAACACTCAGAATAATCTTATTGGCAGAAGTAGCTGCCTCATCACTGTCACATGCCTTAACGAGTATGTCGGGTTGCTGTTTTTTCTTCTTCTTTTTTTTTGAAAAAGGGGCTTGTGTTGGGTTTCTGTTCTTTCAAAATCTTTACAAATCCATTCAAGAAAAGCTCTTTGTTTATTTGAGTCTCCATGCCTATAGCATATAACCCGTGGATTTTATCTGGAATAATCGATTGTAGGTTATATTTATAGGGAGAAAGCCTAGATTGTCAAACTTACTATTCTCTCCGTTTCAATTTATTTGTCGTTTTGACTTTTTGTACATAGATTAAGAAATATTTAATTTTTTATATTTTTTAGAAAAATGACTATTTATACACTTAACCACATTCCAACAAATAGAAATATAATAGTAGATAAAATCAATAAAATTATTGAAATTATAAAACGACACTTATTTTAAAATCAAAATTTTAATCTACAACGACAACTAATTGAAACGGAGGTAATATTTTTTTTTGCTTTCCAAGATTTAAGATTTTATAAATGAAGGAGGCATAAATATTCTGTAAATGTCCAAATCATTTACGCTCTTCTCTTGGTAATTTAAATAAACAACTGGTGACTGATTAAAACCACAATGAATGAAAGAGTTGAACAAAATCTGATTTAAGAAATTGAATAAAGAAGAAAATGTAGACAAATAATTAATCTATATATATAAAGTAGGCTTTTCCCTACTTTTAGCTTGCCACATCATTAAATAAGAGTCTCTGAGCGTGCCACTGTCTTACGAATCAAACGTTGCGTTTGCAATATACAAGTGGGTCGTATTATGTGTGGGCTCTATGTTTTATCATGTAATCCAGCGCAATAGCAAGTAACGTAAACCTTTCAACTCGCGTGTGCTCCGATTTTAGGGTTCACCATTGTTCTTTCTTCTCCGCCGTCCGAAAGCTTGAGATGATGTAGTCGGTGTGATGATTCCGTTTAGGTGTTCGATCGCGTCCTTTGAATTCCTTTTCTATCTATCAAAACTAATTCAAGCCACTTAAAGATTTACATTAAACATCTTCATAACTCCTCCAGCCACGATCTATAATTTAATGTGAAGTTATCTTCTGCGAGGCGATGGTCTGGGGGTATAAAAAGGTTAGCTTTTCACGTCTCAAAACCATCTTCTAAATCTTTTTTAGTAAACTTATTCTTCGTGAAATAGCTAACTGCTCTTTGTTCATTTGTGTTCATCGTTATTAGTTAGGCTTCATTGTGTTATTTGTTCTGTTACTAACCAAAGAGACGATGGTGTATACGACAGTGATTTGTGAGACAAACCGTGATGCTGATTCCCTGGATCGAGCTGTCTTAGTGTCGTTTCGTCTCCGTTTCATCTCCCCGGAAACGTTACATGAGGAATTTATTCACAGCCATTAGCAACATTCTTAACTCCTTTGACCCACTGAAAAAATCATTGTGCAAGCCCAAAAGAGGAGAAGAAAGGTTGGTTGCTTTAAGTTGAAACTAAATAGTCTAATCTTATTCTTTTTACGAATTTTTCAATCAAAAGTGATCTGATTTTTCCTTTTGTCATTACAGTTGTTGCTTCTCAAGCTGTTTGGATGGTGGTATGGTGAATTTAACGAGGTCAAATAGGTTTACCTATGAATTAGGCACCACTCATGTTGCTGCTTTTTTTTATCTTGCACTGCTGCATATTATGGCTCAAACTCTGCGCAGAAGATAGCGTCTCAAACAGAAGTAACACTTTATGTGATCTTGAACTCAGTAAACTGGATGCTAATGCATGATTTTTTTTTCTCTTGGATTCCTCTCCAGGATTATACTGATATATCCCATGTGATTGGTCAGACAGGTTCTGTTTCCATTATTCTAAGAATTTGAAAGAAACTGTGGTCTTAGAGGTGAGCTTAACTTACGTAAGTTCCAATGTTTTTATACTATGATGGTTGTATCTGTATTGAGGCTGGAAGCTTATCTTTTGTCTGTGTTCAAAATTTTCCAGATTTTTATTCAGAAGATGAAATCACCATGGATAAGTTTCAAAATGGTAGGTTTAAGTTATTGTGTTAAAATTTGCTTTATAGCTTTGTTACAACTTCTAAATTGACTCTTTTATTTAGAATGGAGAAATCAGAAGCCACTGAACTGAATGATCATAAGGCCAACATAGAAGCTGGTGAATCTGAGTCTGATGACAAGATAAATCTGACTCTTTAACTTTGATGAGGTAGATTTTAACTTTGTTTTAGTAGTGCAACGTTATAGTTTTTTTTTCAAAATTGGTTTTGAATATCTTTGACTCACCTAATTTGTTGAAAGCTATGATCTTTATGCTGATTACTGAAATGTGATGCATGTTTTATTTATTTGGTTTTAGATGGGTTCGGATGGTGATGAGGATGAGGACAACTCAGAAAAGGAGGAGGAAACACCTTAAATGTATTTTCTTAATGAATTGGCTCTTTGCACTAAGAGCTTACGAAGAGATTGATGATCGGTTACCGTGATCATCACAATATCAGTTTTAATGTTCTCTTATTTTGTTTATCTTTACTTTTTTTTACCATCCTCACAAAAATTTGCTCTACTTTTTTATATGAAATGCATTTTCACATTATTATTAGTATCACTCACACTACATGTTGGAACACAATTATTCATCATTAGAAATAGTTTAGTCTTAAAACATCTACAAAGATGAAAAGTTAAAACGTCAAATTGCGTAAACAAGATTCTATAGATACTCAGACTCTGACTGACTTCACATACACGCTGGTCGTATCCTTCTAACGCAAGTAAACTTCGTAACATAACAACAACTACTAAACTATTCGTAACGTAACTTCTTTTCTTTTTAACAAGACACGGGAAGTTGAACTCGCCTCTAAAAAAAGATTTCTTCACCTCAATGATTCTAATGTGAAACGTATAATTCCAACTCCACTCCCATTTTACAAACCGGTATAAATAACAAACGAATTTTAACATCTATTTGTTTGCTTATTGTGCAGTTATCATCAAACAAATTGAAGAAACTTCGACAACCTCTCGAGATCATCATCTTAACGACCCTACTTCGGATAATCATTTCTCATAACTCCAGGAATATCATTAAGGCCTAACAAGTTAGAAAGTAGCTATAGCCAACCAGTTGAAGATGGAGAGGCAATGAATTAGTAAAACAAAATAAAACTTTTTAAAGTCTTATAAAGCTTAAACAAATATGGATCTTATATATAAATTGTGAGGCAAGATGAAAATGAAACACTAATTATGATACATTATGATAGTATGAACCATAAATAATCAAAAACCAAGAAAAAAATATATATATACAAAAGCTATTAGTCTATATTCACAATAAATATAAATTTATTTTTTTACTAAAACTTTCCGCGGGCCAACCCTAGTAAATAATAAACATAAATAAATGGTAAACGAAAAGATGAACATATGTTTCCAGAATTTAATAAATAAATTAGAATAAAGTTATTTGCAAATGAAACAGAAAAAATCTCTAAGCTCTGCTCATTCATAGCAATATGATAGTTATAACTTCACTTTTATTTCAGTTATATAGGAGTATACATATAGACGATGGTCAAAATGACTATTTTTATTTATATTTCAGTAATTCCAATACTGCGGAAATTGAGAGGACACGAATAAGAAATAGTCTAAGAAACATCCTAACTTTAATTAATTGGGACTTCTCTTGGGAATATTTTGATTTGACGAAAGTAAGAGCACCAATCAGCAAGTGGTTGTGAAAAAAAGTTTATATGGGGGTCTTGCAGACTATACAGATTCCACGTATATGTATAGTAAATAATATCAGCATGTGAAATCATTTCATGTAAGAGTCTTTTATGAACTCAACTTCCTGAAACATATTGTAGCATCGTTAAGAAAGAAAACACCAACGAACATTTGAAATATGAGCCATTATTCGAAATAAGAAATGAAGCTTACCACTTGCTAAGAACGCACAAGTCTTCGTCTGCATCATCCTCGCTTGCTAACGGTTCCTTCTTCTTTCCAACACTGCGAAGTGTTATTTGCCAAGCCACAGGACTGAAGTAACAAGAAACAAGTAGTGTTTCAGCTTTACAAAAAAAAAAAGAAGCTTCTTGGAATTTTTTTTTGGTATAACAAGACAATCACTAGTCCCAAGAACGCAATATCATGTCTAAACCACCAGTGCCATCTGAGACTTTCATTTCACACCTAGTTGTGATCCAATGTTTGCTATTAACCGCACGACTTCACAAGTAGAAGGAACTTGAAACTTCAACGTAATCTACAACACGAAACAGTTTTAATCAAACCTCCCTTTAACACACTTACAGATCACAATCACTACTAAAATTATCAAAAACTAGAGAGAAAGTCTAAAGGATCGTTGCAGAAACCTTTTGCCTTTTGGCTCCTGACAGTGACATTGAACCGTGGGCAAGAACCATATTGAGTTCCTTTACGTTGTATGAGTTCTTGGATTCGAGCTCTTTCTTTCTGATAGATATCAAATATCTTATACGGACTTGGCATGTGCAGAGATGACGTGGACCAGGAAATATAGTAACTGAAAGAAGCAGAAGCTTTGCCGTTGGATTCTGGTGGCAGCTCGAGATTGAAGAAGACGATGTATAAATAGGATAGCTTGGGTGATGTGGAGATTATGCTTTGATGTTGCTGTAGATTGACGACATGAGTCAACTTAACCCGATCGCCATGAGATCGGTGACGAAGGTACAGCTCGCCATGAGAAGTCAAGTTCAAAGCTAGTTTTGTAATCGTTGGTTGCTGTTCTTGTAATCCCATTCTGATAATCAATAAAGGAGTTAGAGATGTGGGTTGACATGGTATGCTCCGGTCTATATATTGTCTCACGATTAATTAAATAATTGCTTATACATAAGGAGGAGCCTCCTGCGATCAGAGATCAAGCAATGATTATTGGAACCACTTAAGGATGATAGCCGTGAGAGGATGTGACCACTCCTAAGAGGGTCTTATCTCACTTTTATTTCTTACCTTCTGTTATGTCAGGCATCTACCCCTATTAGCTAACCAAGAAGGGCCGCCTCTAGCAATGTAGGTCTGATAACGCCGGTCTTTGATAACACTTGCCGCAATCTCCATAGCTATCGAGTTAGTTTCTTCTGTAGCCAATATAACTTGGCAGTGAAAAAACCCATGCAGAGAACGAAGTACTCTCGACAAGAGTAAAGCAACGTTGGGGAAGGACACATGATCATTTAAAGCTCTCTATAATATTGGGGAGGATATCTCAATGATCACTTTCTTGAAACGCAAGTCATGGAGAGCATCACTGGTCCAAAGCAGAACATTCAACGCCGCTTCAAAAGAAGTTCCTACTGGTGATAAAGCTTTCTACTATGGGTCAAAGGAATGCCCAGATGATCCCTAGCTATCCACGCAGCACCCCCATTTTGAAGACCATCCACCCAAGACGAGGCTACATTGCATTTTATCAACCCACAAGGTGGTTTTTGCCACTTGTGGCCTTCATAGCAGCTTCCTCCGAAGCTTTTGAGAAGATAGCAGAATCATCAAACTTCCTCTGTTCCATACAAAAGGAATTACGTGCTTTCCAAATCTGCCATAAGATCCATGGAAATGAAAGGCAGACCTCATTCCTTGGTGGAAGTTTCTTACTTACAGACATCAATCAAGTGGTAGAAATTTAACCACGCTGAATTTGCAGAGAAACCACCTGGTGGAAGAGAAAACCGGGACCGAGCCCATGTCTTCTTTGCCACCTCACAGTGAAATAGAACATGACATATTGTCTCAGCACCTTGACTACATCTTAGGCAAGTCGTATCAAGCACAATACCTTGAGACAGAAGACGAGTTTTAACTGCTAATGCTCCAGACAAAGCTCTCCACATGAAGGGTGCAGTTTTGGTTTCCATAAGTCCTTCCACAGCCATCTTTCTATAGGTGATAGACCTGGAGAAGGAGAAGATTGCAGATTTTGCAATGTATCAGCCAGTATAAAACCATTTTTCGATGTGTAGATACCATTCTTTGAAAAACCCTACACCTTCCCATCTTCTTCAGAGAGATTGAATCTAGTCTTTAGAACAGTAACTACATCCTCTTCACAAATCAAATCTCTAATCCTCTGAACATTCCAGCCTCTACCATGCGGGTCCATCAGATCATTGACAGTGAGAGTAAGATCCACGACAACATCTTGGCGATACTAAGGGGACAAGCATACTGATTCATAATCCAGTTATCAGTCCAAGCCTTAGTCTTTTCCCGGAACCAATTTTCTGAAGCAGACCCTGAGCTATTAACTCTCTTCCATGTAAAATGCTTCGCCAGGCATAAGAGGGCCTTGACCCTAAGCTGCAGTCAAGGAATTCTGCTCTTGGGAAGTACCTATGTTTCAGGACACGAGCGACCAACGATTCAGGGTTGGACCAAATTCTCCATGCCTGTTCCTCTAATAGGGATTGATTGAATCTTTTTGAGGTCCTTAAAACCTAGACCACCCTCCTCTTTAGCTCTACACAACCCACAAAATCTTCTTCTTATTTCCCAGAGCTCCAACAAAACTCCACCATAGCACTTGTTAGCTTAGCACAAACATCCTTAGGTAATTTAAAACAGAACATTGCATAGATCGGTAGTGCTACAGCCACATAATTTAATAGAATTTCTTTCCCTCCTTGAGAAAGAGATTTCGAAAACCAACCCCTAAGTCTACCCTGCATCTTTTCCTTGAGAAAATTCAGCATCTTTACTTTTGATCCCCTGAAGCATTCCGGTAACCCGAGATATGACCCTTCTCCCCCTTCTTGTTCAATACCAAGTATACCTTTAGTCTCTTGTTTAGCTGTTTCAGGGACCTTAGCACCAAAGATAATTGAAGATTTTTGTAGGCTGATCACCTCCCCAGAGGCATCTCCATATGCTTTAAGACATGACATGATCATTGCAGCTTCAACTCCATTAGCTTTGCACAAGAGAAGGCTATCGTCTACGAATAACAGTTGGTGAACCGCTAGGCTTGATGAAGATAGTTTAAACCCATGGAGCCGACCAGCTTCTTCAGACGTGTTGAGGCATGACACCAAAGCTTCAGCACACAATATGAACAAAAATGGAGATAACGGATCACCTTGTCGATTACCACGTTCAGGTTTGATAAATCCATGTGAATTCCCATTCAGCAAGACAGAAAAGAAAACCGATGAAACAGATATGATCCATCTAATCAAAATTCTATCAAAACCCAATTTTTCCATCAGAATCTCCAGAATATTCCACTCAACACGATTGTATGCTTTAGACATGTCGGTTTTGATAGCCATACACTCTTCGGAGACCTTCTGATTAGTTCTTAGCCCATGTACCACCTCATGTGCAATAAGTATGTTGTCAGAGATTAGTCTATCTGAGACAAATGCTCCTTGAGTCTCAGAAATAATCTGTGGCAGGAAGACTTTTAAGCGGTTGCTCAAGATCTTCGAAATGATCTTGTATTGAACTGAGCATAAGCTTATAGGTCTTAAGTCCTGCATTTTTGTTGGTTTGGTAATCTTCGGCAACAAACAGAGTTGAGTGTGATTCCATCCCTGCGGCATGAACGAAGTGGAGAAAAACTTACTGATCTCCGAAGTTAGTTTAGGACCCACAATGTGCCAGAACTTTTGGTAAAAAATATTGGTAAAGCCTCAGCTAACTCCAATCTTCGTTTCTTCATCTTACTGTAAGATGGATTGACCTTTGCTACTTCTTTCTCCAAATCTGTTTGAAGCCGAGAAATCTTATTTCTGGAATTAGAGTCGGAATGCCCCTTCCTTTTAATGATATTTTTTTTGGCATATTCCAATGCGTTCCATCGTGTTACTCTGATCGAAATCATCACTACCCCAGCTCTGTTTCATTAGCTCTTCAATTCTAGCCTTGTTGATCCACCGTTTGTCGAAGAAGAAACAATTCCTTTTTGGTCATCTCTTTGGTCATCTCTTTCTAAGGAAAAGCAAATTCTTATGGGCCTGTGGTCTGAAGCCTAACTCTAATTACTCCATATTCGATCTAGGGAACAATGAGAACCATTCACTATTCCCAAAACTGCAATCCAATCTACACTGCATCCACACGCAATCTCTCCAGCCACCCCAGGATAAGCAGTTCCCAGTATAGCGCAATTCTCGAATTTTACAGTTCTCTGCCATATTCCGAAAATCGCAGAAGCTGGAATCATTACGTGTAGCACCACCGAGCTTTTCATCGTTAGCCATCAATTCATTGAAGTCTCCAGCTAACAGCCATGCTTCGTCTCTAACCAACCCGATACTCGTTAATCTTTCCCACACTTCCTGACTTCTAGATCTAACAGGATCACCATACACACAAGTGAGAAAAAACCGAAGCGAACCAGACGTAACCTCCATATCAGTGGTCCTTTTATCCGATGACAAGACAGATACCGAGTAACTATCTTTCCACATCACAGCCAAACCACCACTATATCATTCTGGTTCCACCGTAACTAAATGCTTATACCCCAAACTTTTCTGTAACCCTATCATGTAATCACACTTTTGCTTAGTCTCCATAAGAAATAAAAATCCGGGAAGAACTTTCGTCTGAAAACCCGGAGTTGTTGAACTCTCTCAGAGCTTCCTGCTCCTTGACAATTCCAGCAAAAAATGCTCATTGGGGAGGCAGCGGCTGCAATACGGAAGCCACCGAAAATTCTGAGTGTTTTGGAGTTTTGTTGTCCGATGCAGGAGATAAGATAGCATGTTTCCCCTCCATACCATTGGAAGCCGACTGCTCTGTGACATCTGCAGTAGAAGTAACTACAGGAGTTGATCGCTTGAGATTTGACTTCTTCTTCCATGAAAGGGGACGGTTTCTCTGGGATGTCCCAATGCTTATGTTTCTGGAGACTCGCCCTTCCGAAGAAGGGCCAAGCTGAAAACCCGTTGAAACTATGGCAGGATCAGAAATAGTATCAGAAGATTCAGCATCATCGTCGACGTTAGCCACTTGCCAGGAGCATGCAGCACGTAGACGTTTTCAAGTATCATCAGCCGAGAGAGCTCTTAGGGATAGTGAAAGACATGACCCTTCCCCTTATCAATATCAGAAGTGATCTTTGTCAAGCGAATGGAGGACTCTCCAGCATTGTCTTCAATACCCTGTCTCACTCTCAATATTCTTGCGTTACGTTCAGTCTCATCAGAATGGTCTCGAGACAAAGCGATGCCTCTATCCCTTCCATAAACCCTCCATGCCGTCGGCATGTACTCAATCATACGTGACATGGATTGACAATCTGAATTAAGCAACCGTCCAAGTAAACTGGTCTCGTTAGCATCACAAACCGTAATCTGAGGACTATCTGGCAGTACCAATGGTTCTTCCTCTTCAATGGACATCGCACTGATTGCTTTTTGTAAGAAATCCGCCATAACAGAGAAAGAGCAAGCGGTGTGAATGGCGGAGCTTTGGACGCAGAGTAAAACTTTGGGAAGGAGGTCTAGTGTGATGGACATGAAGTTTCCAAAAATAAAGCAGAATTCTGTCATTATTTTTTTTGTGAAATCATGGTGAAAATGAAAATGTGCCAATCAAGGTAATATTTATGTAAAGTATCATGGTAAATAAGGGAAACAAGAGAGGAAGAGGGGAGGGAAATATTTTTAAAAGGGAAAGACATGAAGTTTTCCTGAAATAAAACAGTAGACCAATGACCGGTAATTGAACTCCACTCAACTATGAGGGAAAGAAAATCAAAACAAATAAGAAAACAATAGCTACCGTAAATCGCC